TCCTTTTAACACCTGCTGCTAAGCCTGCAGGACGCTAACTTCATTCATAATCACTCTACTTGTCTAACATTACTAAAGTCATATTTTAATGGAGATTATTTAGGTTTATATACATATTTGTATTTTTTATTGAAAATGTAACTTTTTAATTCTTATTTTTTTAAATATATTTATCTGATTGTATCTTTTTATTTTATTTAAATACATATTTTTGTTTTATATTATTTAATTTGTATTGGACATTTGACTTTGACCTTCTTATGTCTATACATATTGTATTAATATAAATATTTGATTTCATTTATTAATTTGTATTGGATCTTTTACTTTACTTCTTACTTTTATTAGATATTTTATTTAACTCTTCATGTTTATATGTTTATATAATATTTTATTTTATTGCCCATTCTTACTTTAACTTCTTAGACAATATCTAGTTTCATATCGTATTGATATATTTCCCAGCCCTAGTTTCAGCACGACTGTATAATGTATAGACAGCTATATTATTCTAGATGTTTACACTACCTGAGTTTACAATCAGAGCACAACATATGTTTTGTAACGACATCCACGCCAAGCAGTGTTGCTTTCTAAATGCATCATGGAACCGTATCTTTCCTCCTGTAACATTGATTATTTTCATAACTTGCCATAATGTGTTTTGATGTTTTCTTTAGAAGGATATTTAAAAAAAATAATGTAAATGGTTGCAACAGCGGACAATAAAATCCTGCAAAATGCACCTCTTCAAAGCTTCAGGCTGAATGGAACTGAGTTCTGGTAATGGGCATTTTTGTTGGAAAGAAGAGGAGGAGGAAGAGGGGGGTTTCTTTTTTTAGGACTAGATGATATAAAGGTGCACAGGGAGGAGGAAAGGGGGATGATCTCATTGCTGCTGCAGACATCAGGCGCGAGGCTTTGTTGCAGGATTGTCACTTTAAAGAGAAAAACTGACGTCATTTAGAGCGACAGTAATTATGCCCATTTGTATTTTTCCTTTCCTTTAAAAATCTTTTTGTTATCAAACCACATCTAAAATCTCTTTCTCCGGAAATGTCAAGAAGGGGCGTCACACTTTCGGTTATAATGTTTCCAGTTAAGTAATTTGCAGTTTTTATAGAAAAAACAGCTTGCCAGTGATTGAGTTTGACATTTATTTAAGACTTCAGAGTGTGACAAATATGCATGCAGAGAAACAAGCGTGTGTGTGTATGTTTGTCTTTGTGACATTGTGTGGCTCGTAACTTGTTGGCACACTCATAGTGTGGGGTCCAAAATCATGGCGAGGACCAACAACCTTGACCCCATCTAAAAAAAAATAAAAGAAGATATTATTGAAAAGAATGTCAAAACAATGCCCTGTAAAGTTTTGAGGGTTGAACCCATACATTACTGTTAGAAAACATTGTCTGTATACATGTGCTAAAGGGAGGTAACTCCCCTAGTGGAAGAAGTTGGTAAAGCTACCCACGGACAAATTGTCGTAACTATGGGATCGAATGCTCACATTTGCAGGCAGCCAACTTCCAAATAGACTAACTTGTTGAATAGCTGGGGTAAATAAGCTATTAGAGTGGTGGGGGAATGAGTCTTAAAACCAATCGATGCTGATTCCCTCTTCTGGAAATCAATGTAATCACATAAAACAAGTCAGTAAATACCCAACTGGTGAATTTAAAAACAGGGGTTTCTAACAAGTGTCTAAGGAGACGACTAAACGTCATCACACCCAACATTAGCTGCCTTTAGCTTAGCGGTGGTGAGGTGAAGTCATGTGACCATAATGTTGTTCCTTTATAGCCTAATGCCCAGGAGAGTGGTGTTAATATGTGGAGATTATCTTGCTTTGATCCGAAACCCAATGGAAACATCTCATACCTTTTTGTCTAGAAAACCGGGGCGATGCATACCTTCATGTCAACCTACAGAAATATGTGCAGTACTTTGTTTCAACTATCTAACGATGATCTGCTAGCAAGCCATTTCCATCCACTAAAGGCATGTGATTCCCCTTCTTCACTTCCCTTTTGTGTGACTTTCTTTCTTTGTGTCTTAGTATCTGCTCAGTTCAGACAGGATGATCCCTCTTACTCATCAGGCTTTTCTTATTATGAACACTTGTATGAGATTAAATAAAGAGGACTATCCTCCTCCTCGTAGCTCGTTAAGTCTCACCCTGCTCTCTACTCTTTATCCTTCTCTTTCACTCGTTATCCTTTTCTGTCACTCTTTATCCTTCCCTTTCTATCATTCACATCTCATCCTCCTCTCCTCCTCTGGGAGCAGGGAGGAAATGAGAGGGGGGTGAGGTAATTAAATTGCATTCAGTGGTGGAAGTATGTGTGTAGGAGGTGTATAATACAAGGGAAGCTCCTTTTCTTTTATTTCACCTTGTTTTATGTTGAGTGTCGGCACATGGTGAACTCATCTTTCAGATCAGACACGTTTAAGTAGATGTTGTAAACTGATCTGCTCATATTCTCTATTCATAAAACTAAATGGCATTTCTACTCTGCGGCTACAACCAACAAAGCTTATTGTCTATAAGTATGCATTATGCAACGAGCACACAAATGGAAGTAAATTGGGGTTTTAAAAAAAGCCTACAGCTAACTACAAATATACTTTGTGACGAAAACACGCAGACATACTGGCAACAACTATTTATAATAAACCTTTTTTACCCTAAATACATGTATAGTACCACAAAGGACCAAATTATGACTTAGTAGCATACGTTATCTAACATACGTCTCTGAGTCTTTGCCAAAAGCTTGTATATCATTCAAAGTAAAAGGGGTGATGTCAGGGTTGAGCGAAGCAGGCAGGACCCAAACGCAGATTTCACAGAAAAAACACCTTTAATCCAAGGTCAAAATGGAAACAAAACAGAACTCTTCCCCGTGAACACAGTCAATATACACAAGGAACTAACAAAGACTAACAGAAAACACAGAACCTAAATGCACACAGGACTAATCAAACAAACAAGAGACAGGTGAGGAGGGAGGAGAAAACACAGGGGCACCAGGTGAACACAATCAGGTAGGAAAAAGAGACAGAAAGCAACAGGCAAGACAGGAGGTGAACACTTTTCAAAATAAAACAGGAAACCAAAGACAGAAAAAGACAAACCAACACAGACAGATCGTGACAGGTGAAGCTTCTAAATTCAGAATAATCTTTTCTTTAATGTTCAGTTACTGTGCTGTAGCTTGCTAGCTATGCTCAAACAGTAAGGGATATTAATAGTTATTGTCCAAAACACCAATCATTTGCCTTCAATTTGACCCTATTTGTTATATACTGAATATTACTGTATACACACTGAAAAAAAGCGGTTGGAATAAGACCTAATTGTCCATTGTCTGTGTTTTTTTTCAACACATTAACTTGAAAATAAAGCACGTATAAAACTGAATTAATGAAGGTCTTAAAAGGACAATTAGCCAGCGATAGAGATACTGAAAGTCTTAATGTTAGGTAATAAAGCGCACCGGCTCAGGGCTGTTATCGGGACATTGGCATTTATAGTGGGGTTGTTGGTCTTTGGGGAAGTTGCTAATCTGTCCGTGGCTACAGACACTTTGTAATCTAATACCGTCTCATTATGTTTGATTCAAATTCAAGGCAGTTTTTATAAAAATGTCTTTATAGGAACACATCTAACTTACTCTGAACATGTTATACTGTCTCCTTTCTTCTCTTGCCTGTTTTACTCTGCAATCTCCTTTCCTTTGTGTCCTTCCTTTTATAACCTCTCCTCACAAGTCCTTATTTACCTACCCTCCTGTCGTCCTATCTCCTTTCATTTCTCCTCATCCTATCTCCTCTCCTAACTTCCTTACCTTTATCTCTTATCTCCTCTCATGTTCTTACCTTCCTTTAGTTTGCCTCCTTTCCTATGTCCTTTGTACTCTCTCTCTCCAACTCTTTCCTCACCTCCTATTTTCCTCTTTTCTTCATCTTATCCTCTCTTTTCTTCTTTTCATATTTTCCTTTCATTGTGTTCATGTCCTCTCCTCTCCCCTCTTCCTCTTCTCTCTGTTCTTTGGACTCATTCTATCAGTCTTTCATAGAAACAGCAGTCTGACTCACGCTGTCGCTCCTCCTGTTTTTAAGACTCCTCCCATCAGGTACAGAAATAAACACATTTAGAAACAGCACTACATCTCCTTTAAACCTCCCTTCACATTATCGCCCTCCCTCCCCCCTCCCTCCCTCCTGCCTCCCTCCTTGTCTATTTGTCTCTGTTACGTTGGGTGATTCGGTTAAAGTGACAGATCTTCTCTCCTCCGCTCATTCTCTGCTCCCGCCGATCACATTACGATCGATCGGACATTCCCACAGATGAGCGAGTGGAGCAAAGCTCCTCCGTCCCCTTCCTCACATTTATCCTCTTCTCCTTCCTCCTGATGCTGACAGAGTGGAAGTTATATCATACCAGTAATTACGTAGTTTATCTTCGGTCCTTGCTGCTCTCCTGCTCTGTTACGTAAAGCTGACCAATTAAAACTCGGCTCTCTGGCCCCGAGTCACGGAGTCATAATTAGCGTTACTGTGTGTGTGTGTGTGTGTGTGTGTGTGTGTGTGTGTGTGTGTGTGTGTGTGTGTGTGTGTGTGTGTGTGTGTGTGTGTGTCACATGGTGCAGGGAGAAATCTGCTGGTGCCTTCATCTTCCCTGAGGAGGCTTTTTAAAAGTGTCTTAACTAGTATAGAGAGAGTCCTCTCCTGCTGATGTTCAGGTGTATATCAGTATGTAGTGTCTCTACTTTAAAGAGTCCTCTCCTGCTGATGTTCAGGTGTATATCAGTATGTAGTGTCTCTACTTTAAAGAGTCCTCTCCTGCTGATGTTCAGGTGTATATCAGTATGTAGTGTCTCNAGTGTGTGTGTGTGTGTGTGTGTGTGTGTGTGTGTGTGTGTGTGTGTGTGTGTGTGTGTGTGTGTGTGTGTGTGTGTGTGTGTGTGTGTGTGTGTGAGTGTGTGTCACTGTTTTTACTTGAGGGTGAAGACACTGTCTATACTCCAGAGAGCAGATAACGGGACGCTCCAGGAGGCAGAGGTGAGCAGCAGCTTCCCATCCTGAGAAACACAAACATACACGTTACTTTCAATATGTTGGGAAATCCTGAATGTCCTCTTCCAATATGAGAGTAACATGATAGCAGAAGCCGCTTTCACGCCGCGTACTTAGCCGTACTTATTGCCGGCACTTATAACCCAGGGCACTAAGTACCAATTTAGAGTACTTTACCCTGAGGGAAGATTAGGCAAATGAGCCGCTGACGTCACCTCGTCTTCTTCTGCTTTGTGTTTACTGGCAGGCCGCAAACAACTTCACGGCGTATACTGCCGCCCTAAGTCCCTGGCCGGAAGTCCCCGGAGTTGGGGACTGGCTTCAGTAGANAAGAGTCCTCTCCTGCTGATGTTCAGGTGTATATCAGTATGTAGTGTCTCTACTTTAAAGAGTCCTCTCCTGCTGATGTTCAGGTGTATATCAGTATGTAGTGTCTCTACTTTAAAGAGTCCTCTACTACTGATGTTCAGGTGTATATCAGTATGTAGTGTCTCTACTTTAAAGAGTCCTCTCCTGCTGATGTTCAGGTGTATATCAGTATGTAGTGTCTCTACTTTAAAGAGTCCTCTCCTGCTGATGTTCAGGTGTATATCAGTATGNGTAAATCGCCAGAACGCCGACACCTCCTCATCTCCACCGCTCCCATGTTTTATTTGTGTTGCCATAAGTTAGTCTTTCTGCGTTTCTGCGCTAATGCTAATGCTAATAATGCTACTGCCAGCAAATACAAAATGGCCGCTTCAAAAAACTTTTCAGAGTTTCACGGGCGTGGTTTGCAATTCGCCCAGCCAATAGAAATTGGTACTTTTTTCTCCCCAGGTTAGTACCACCTCTCTAGCAGGGACTAAACATGGGGGTAAAAGTTCCCGGCACTAAGTAGTCTTTTTGGTGTGAACGCGACATAAGCGGTACTAACGGAACTAAACGGGAAAAGTACGGGGAAAAGTAGCTGTGTACATGACAGGAAGAACAAAAAAAATATATATATATATAAGAATATTAGTTATATTTGCTTCAAGAATAACGAGGACATCCCTTAAATCCTTTGCTGGGTTTTCTAAAACTAAAGATAACAGAACTATTTTAACACTAGACTTTGTGTTGTGTGTCAGTGACGCACCCTGGAGGGCTCCAGGTGTGTGATGGCGGAGGTGTGGCAGGTGTAGTTGGCCTCCTCCTCCCCGGAGAACACGTTGTAGAACTTGAGGTGTCCGGAGCAGGTTCCCAGCATCAGGAAGCGCTCCCGGGCGGAGAAGGCGCAGCAGGTGAAGCCGCTCTCGTCTCCGTCGCCCTCGTGGAACACCGACATCGGGCGAAACCTGAACACAGAGCAAGAAAACGGCTTTTTAAAACCTGTATTATTATTTAGTTTGTTCAGCATCTGGTGGATCGGGACTCCCACCTGGATCTTTTGACATTTCCTTTGTATATAGATATGCACATTATCTATTCTAACATTTGGACTCTCTACGTTGTAAATGTATTATCTTATTTATAAAACAACACGTCCATTGCCATCTCTCCTCCGTTAGTGGAGGGGTTTCTTTGTGAAGAGTCAAAGTTAGTCAAAGTCAACTTTATTGTCAATCTTTCAGTTTGTGTGTACAGACAGAGAGATCGAAATACAGTTTCCCACAATCCAGAGGAATACAAATATATAAAATATATATACACCTCTCTGAAGAACCAGCACCTTATCGTGGTGGAGAGGTTTGTGTGCTCCGATGAACCTGGGGACAGTGTTGTCTGGAACCTTGTGTTCCTGGTAGGGTCTCCCATGGCAAATTGGTCTCAGGCAAGGGGCCAGACTAAGAGTGGTTCAACGACCCCATGAAAAACACCATCAAAAGTGAGGATACCCGGCCCGGAGGTAGCCCGAGTCCTCCTTCTGGAGCCAGGCCCAGACGGAGGACTCGTCGGCGAGCGTCTGGTGGCCGGTCACAGCCCGAAAAGGCAACGTGGGAAACCTCTCCGCTTCGCCGTCCCACCACAAAAAAAGTGCAAAAAATGTCCGTCCCAGTGGTGTCTTTAGATGTCTTGCAGTAAAAAGCGCTTTCCTACCTGCTAATGACACCGTAAAGCCCCCTGAGACATTGTGTAATTTGTGATGGACTTAATTGATCGCTGTTTCTTATAAAAGGTCATAAAAAGTGCAAATATGTCCCTCACTGTTTTTTTTTTTTCGTGTTTGTGTCTTTAAATGTCTCGTTTTGTCGCTCAAAACACACACCCCCTTCTAAACAGTTGTCATTATAACCAATGGGTTGTTTGGACTCCTTGAGTGTGCTTCCTACCTGCTGAAGATGAGGTGCCGGTCCAGCCCCCCCCGGTCCACCCCCCCGTGCCTCGGGTACAGGCCCCGCCCCCCCAGCCGGGCGCTGAAGTTGGGCTCGGCCATGCGGCGCTGCGTGGGCTCGGGGCAGCGGTGGGGGGTGAAGAGGGAGAAGGGGGGGCAGGTGGTGACGGGGTTAATGCAGCGCGCATGCTGCTCCCTCAGGAACTCTGTGATGATGCTGTCCAGGGAGGGGGGCGAGGGGGGGGCGAGGGGGGGCTGCATCTTCATGGCCGGAGTCTGAAACACAGAGAAGAAGAGAGGATATATTCTTTAGTCAAAATCAACTTTAGAACTTATAGACAGAGAGATCGAAATACCGTTTCACACAATCCCGAATACAAGAACAAATATATATAACATGAATACATATAGGACATAAAACAAATAGATTTGCCTCTTCATGGCTGGAGTCTGAAACCAGAGTAGAAGAGAGGATGTTCTGAGCAATGTTGCCGCTTATGTGCGACCACTTTAACAGATTTAAAGGTCTCCTATCAAGCAAAATGCACTTTTATTGATGTCTTCTCAACATCACCATGTGTCCCCGGTGTCCCCCCGGTGTTTCAGGAGACTCACAAAGTGTCAGGAAATAAAACCCTCTCTCTTTTCAAGAAGTCCCCACACTGCCACACAACCAATGTAGGCCCCCCCCCCCCCAGGGCTGCGTGAGTTCAGCTGTGCTCTTCACTCTCTACACGATGATTGTCATACCAACACACAAAATCAAGTCATCATTAAGTACTCTGATCATACTGCAATAATATCTCTGCTCAGTAACACAGACGACCCTGAGCTGCACCAACAGGCTGTAAATCAGGTGGTGGAGTGGACCGATAACAATGCTCTTGAGATCAACACCAAGAAAACTGAGGAAATCCTTTTTGGCTCACCATCTGACTCCCATAAAGTCCCCATTGTCATCCATACAGATGAAATCAAGCAGGGAGTTTCATACAAATACTTGGGTGTAATGATTGACCGTCTGCTGTCATGGAAGGATCACATTGAATATCTGAGCAAAAGGACAAAACAAAGAATTTATTTTCTCCGCCGTCTTAGGTCTTTTGGGGCGAGCAGATAAATTCTTCTGTTGTTCTTTACATCTGTGATCATGTCTATTCTGCAGTTCTGCAATACTACCTGGTACAAATGTTTGTCAGCAGCTTTAAAATCAAAACTGCTCCACCTGTTAAAAATCTGCTCAAAGATTGTTGGTCAACCCTGTCAGAGATTCTATGACTCAGCCTATCAACCTAGTGAGGCTGTCCAACCACATCATCTCTGACCCAAACCATGTTCTGAACAGTGAATATGAACTGCTACCATCTAAATCGGAGATACAGGGTCCCACGATTCAATAAAGTCAGACTGAAGCACTCCTTTGTGCATCAGTCAATCCTCACAGTAAATTCAGAGCTAAATCCCAGGTCAAATGCACACTGAAGGCTCTTTGAGCAGCTTTTCTCTCACTGATTGTGCTGTTATGTTAAATGCTCACAGTAAATATAGAGCTAAAATCCCAGATCCAAATGCACGCTGAAGCATCCTTTGAAGCATCCTTTGCTGCGCGCAGTCAATCCTCACAGTAAAATAGAGCTAAATCCCCAGGTCCAAATGCACTGGCTGGAAGTGTCTTGGCATGTTTTCTCTCACTGATCCTGCTGTTACGTTAAATGTTTGTGATGTGTTGTTTCATGTATTGTGTCTGTATACTTGCTCTGTTGATGTTCTGGACAGTGAAGCGTGCTGTGGACGGCAAGTTCAAAATTTCAGGACTTGAATCTGGGGAATAATGAAGTAAATATCTTATCGTTTCGTTATCCTTATCGTCGATATTAATAATAATAATGATCATTGAAACTATGTTGTATTTAGTATAGCACCTTTCACAGGCAGAAATACAATTCACAAGTGCTTCACAAGTAAAGATCGAAGGACCACGGAAAACATGAATACAACATGAGGCAGAAAGGTCAACATAAAAACAAAACACAGACGAACGTGAAGTCCTGAAAGGAACTGAACATAAGAACACATCACACACATCTCAAGTAGAAATAACAGCCCAATGTGAAAAGGATGGGTCGTCATTAGTCTTTTAAAAAGCTTCTACAGAGACTGCAGAGCGCAGGACTATAGGGCTCCATAGGTGTTTGGAGTCCACATGAAAGCACGTAACCTTTAGTTTTTAAATCTTGTGAACCGTGGGACAGCCAGTAGCCCTGACCTAAAGACCTTAAGTGACCTACGGGCGATGTAAGGACTGGGAAGGTTCACACTATGTATTCCGGTGTCAATTTCCGGATGGCAGGGCTCTATAGGTTAATAACCAGAACTCTTTAAATATTATAATGCTGTAGATCCGTGGTATGCCAATGTAATGGATTTTAAAATGACGTCGCTTCTTTTTTTTTTGTTATGATTTCAGGACAATAAACGCTTTATTCTGATTGTCTTCCTTCTCCTTTCCTCATGGCTGGCTCCCTCTCTCCCCTCTGAGATGATCGCGCTTCAGTGCAAACTTTCCA